TCTATATATAATAACACTAATATTTTTTACTAATTCAAGAAACGTTTTGCTTCAAAGGAAAGAGAAAGAAAGAGCTCTAGAGAAAAAAAATCGCCATGGCTTCAAAGCTTGTGATCATCATTGTATTCATTCTTGATCTAATCGCTGTTGGATTAGCCATTGCAGCTGAACAAAGAAGAAGTATCGTAAGAATCACTCTCTCTAAAAAAATATTCTTGTACTGTTTCATTTTCTCTATATTACAGATTCTTGAAGTCAAATCTTTGTCTTATGAACATTGTTAATCTATACATATTTATAAGAATAATGTTTTAAGACTTGTTCCAAAATCTCTGTTTGTGAGATCTCTTGTAGTGAAAGATTTTGTCAGATCTGATTAAAAAACAAAAATCAAGCTTTATCAAGATCTTTGTATGTAACTATAGTTTAATGCATTGTTTGATGTATGTTTGTGTTTGTTAGGGTAAGGTTGTTCCGGACAAGGAGAAGGATTATGAGTATTGTGAATATGGTTCAGACATAGCTACAAGTTATGGAGCTGGTGCATTTGTGCTTCTATTGACTAGCCAAGTTCTTATTATGGTGGCTAGCCGATGTTTCTGTTGCGGCAAGGCTCTTAATCCCGGTGGTTCGAGAGCTTGTGCAATCATGCTCTTCCTCATTTGCTGGTAACAATTCATATCTTACAGCAGTCTCAATTAGGTTTCTTGAGTTTGACTTTGATCAAAACATTCTTTTTTTTTTGGACAGGGTGTTTTTCTTGATTGCGGAGATATGYTTGCTCGCGGCATCAATCAGAAACGCGTACCATACTAAGTATAGAAAGATGTGGAATATCGATAACCCGCCGAGCTGCGAAGTGATCCGTAAAGGAGTGTTTGCAGCTGGTGCTTCGTTCGCGCTCTTCACTGGTATCGTCTCTCAGTTCTATTACATCTGCTATTCCCGTGCTCGAGATGATTACCAGAACCCACCTTATTAGTGAGATCGAGACGAGAAAACCTAAACCCTTGAAAGAGTTTGTTCATTTATCACCTCACTGATCGATATAGGAAATTCAAATTTGATGAATGGTAGTGATTTGTATTCTTTAAGCTTTTGAGAAATCACATTGCCTTTTGGTTTTGTTGTGATGTATAAATCTCTTTATATAATATATAGACAGCTTTTCTACATTTTGAGTATCTAAGATTTGTTGTTACAGACAAGTTTTATACTTTTTAGAGCTCATAACCTGGAAACAGAGCTTGAGTTGGGTCGTTCATGTCGAGAAACATGTAAGACATTCCTCCTATACCTTCGAAGAGAGAGAATGGCCTATCTCCTCCGTGCATTTTACCTTCTGCGATGAGTTTCTCTGCTTTATCGAGTAGGAAAGACGCGAAAGCCTTTGCTCGATACAAGTACTTTGGTTTTCCTGTTAATCGGTATAAAGAATGAAAAACGTATGTGTTTCCGCTGATACCGTGACAGATTCCTACTCGTGTAAGCAATCCCTGGTTCCAAACGACTTCTCCCGCCTCCATTGCAGCCTCTACAAATGCCTGTGTCCCAAATATCTGAGGATATCTAGAGATGAGTTTCGCATTGTGGTATTACCGATAAGAGTATAACAATAAATATAATTACCTGAGCTGCCTTTACGAGCGTGAGAGCAACACCAGGAGCACCGTGACACCAATGAACAAGGCGATCTGATTTGCTTCCTTCGCTAGATAGGTAATTTCCGCTAGGAAAACGGTTTTGAATCATGTATCTTAGTGTACCTTTAACATCTTGGATTTCATCTGGTTCAAGTTCCATATGCATCAGAACATGCATAATCCCGGCTAAACCGTGAGCAGCACCCCAATACTTCTTCCCGTGCCACTCGAACATCAATGGACACTCTCCTCTTTTCCCTAGTTGTCTACCTTCCCTGAAGATTTCCTCAACCACGGATCTCTGCATAATCAGATGATAATTCATAAAGCCGATTTCAAACTTTCTCGACTCAAATTAACCAAAAAACAGCTTTCAAACTTTATTACCATTCTTGCAGACGATACACTATCCTTCCCGATATGCTTATTCAAGAACAAGCATGCCCATAAGTATCCTGCTCTACCATATAACAACTCACACGGCAAACCACTCGGAAGCCTTATCTGTTAAACGAAAAACCAAGTCGCAAGACTCAAGCAAAGAGACAAGTCCATGTACACGAAAACAAAAGAAACTAGAGTAGTCACCTCACGGAAACGGGCTAAATAACGATCCTGTAACTGATCATCACCTATACACTTTGCTACAACAGAACCAAGAGCACAAACACCAGCATAGCCACATAAGAACGTCACTCGCCTGATACAAAAAAAAAACCGCGCTACTCACGGCCTTATTACCTCGAAATGAAACATACGAAAAAATCGCAATTTCAAAGAGAATTCCTTACTCAGAATCTCTCGACGCCACATCACAAGCCTCAACAATCTCTAAACATAGCTTTAGATCATCTTCATTTCTAGTGACTTGATAAGATTTGAACAAGAGATAAGCTGTTCCAAGAACACCAGTATACAGATTATAGTCTCGAACACGTTTTCCTGATCGTTCCCATGTCTCCAACACTATCTGAATCCAATACCAAACTAAATCAAATTCAGAAACTCTGATCATAATTTCAACAAAATTGCAATTGCTAAGTTTATACGTATCCTCATCGACCTTGATAAACACTATCTCAAATTGAAAAGTGAAGTTACCGTATCTTTGAGGCTAAAAGCATGTCTCTGAAGCTTGTCGGAGAATGATCTGTACGGAAGTGAGAGCAGTTTCGTAAGAGAATCTTCACCTTCGGAAACGGTTTCTTCTCCGGTGGATTCTTCCGGTATAAATTCCGGCAACTCATTTCGGAAAAAACGTTCTCCCAACTCTCTCTAGAGAATCCCGAAGAACAGAAC